TTGGACCATAGTATGGTCATCATATAACAGGTAACAATATGCCTGCAAGATGACCTATATGTACTTTTATGGCTGTATCGACGAAATATGTTGCAGGCATACTATGACAGCTACATCATACTCCGGGAGATATACTTCTACACACCGCAATTTGTCAGAGCACCATCTCTAATTTCAGAGCGCATTGTCCCTGAGCGGGTCGTTTCAGTCTGTGCGGGTTCTAAACTGCTTCTGACTTGTTGCGAACGTGCCTGCATGTGAAAGTCAGCAGGCAAGTGATGCCAGCCTGAATCACAGTGTGAAGGCTTGCCCAACCACGAGAACTCGAAGTTCAGGCACATGCACGGCCAAGATCATTCCATGCAAGTCCTTTCAGCGTCTGTCTGGATGAGTTGAGCCGAAATTATGCATGCCCCATGTCACATAGTTAATACTGAACAGCACGAAGAACTAGGAAGCTAAACTCGCCCTTCAAATCTTAAACCTTGTAGCCAGCCAGAGCTCAATAGCAGGGGTTTCAAGTCTGAGAAACTAGCACGTGTTGCTTGCACACCAAATTGGGCAGTCGTAAGCCCTGTGAAAAGTCTCCTTCCAGTGCCCTGCTTGGGCTACCTTATAGGATCCTAACAGTAAACTGGCTTAAGCAAACACGTAACTACAATGGAGACTATAGGTAATTAATTAACCCCGAACTGAAGTCCCGACCCCCTAAAGCCCTAGACTATGTCTAGACTGCTCATTCCCCAACTCTCTCCATCCAAGAGCCAAATAACTAGATTTAGGAGCATCAACATGCATTTCATCACAAGGCATTTGATTACATCCAAGCCTGCAAGGCTCTTTATATAGCCCTGTCCACCAAACAACGTCTTAAACCTTCAGGCTTAGATCGTACTATAGCCCGTCTTACCCTAATAAAAAATCAATAAAATCTTGCACCTGCAAAGCATGAACACCTAAACTTGTTGGCAATTTTTTTGTCTTCATCCATCACGAGAGCCACCGTGCCGAGCTATGGAGCAGGTGTCGCGAGGCGCCAACGGGCTTGGACCAAGGCATGCCCAAACCCCACAGAACGTACCCAGAGTCTCCAATATTCCTTAATTAAGGAAGATCCCATATATTATAGCAGGATCTTTACTACGATGTAGGGAATATTCCTTAATCAAGGGATATTGGTAGTCAAGCTCTGTTGTAAGCCGGGAGACTACACAGACACAGTTTAGAAGCTTTGCTTTGAGTCTTAGCCTTTCACCTCTAGTTCATTGTTGAGATAGGATTAAAAATGTACATTTCTATTCCTTATTGGGTTTAAGTACCCATAAAAATGTAAAATGTTACCCAACAATGACAAAGACCTCCCACCATGCTTGGGGTTGTATAATTTAGGGTTGAGGAAATGCTGAAAACCTGAACTTTGAACTGCACCGGAGATCCCCACCCCAAGTTGGATTCCGACTTGTTCCTTTTAAAGGGGTATATAAGGAATACCAAAAGGGCATTATCGGGGTGTAATATAAGGGCCTAAATAATAATTCCAATACTATTTGAGTCTGGCTTCATTCCAACAGCAAGCTGCGGTTTCTGCGCAATCAGTCCCGAACTGCCACCCGCGCCTGCGACTGAGACTCTGTAGAATCTCGAGCATCTCCATATGCAGAAGGTTCACGCTCAACGCTCGTGAGCCAAGCATGCGAAATTCCCCATGTTTGACTGTGCAATCGATTCAGGGCTATCTGAATTGGAGGGGCCATGAAGGACACGCCGTTTTGCCATCCGTCGCAAGACGATGCTGACCTCGTTGAGCCCTGGTCGGACTCTCCGCGAGCTACTGCTAAGGGGTGATGTGGCACAACAGTGAATACTCGTTGTGCGGTCATGCAGGTTCAGGGCTTGTAATCCTATGTCTCACGACGACATACAACACACGCCGACATAGTGAGCAGACAAAGGGCAAGCACAGGTGAACAGAAACGTATCGGCAAACACATTGATGCACACAGGCACATGCACTGGGTTGATTGTGAAGAGACGGTCAACCGGACAGAGAAGGATGCAACAACACATGCAAAATCCGAACTATGACGTTGCGCATACTGCAGCAGTAGACCAGGACCTAGGCACGAATATGAGGCTCTCAGCCCAGGGACATCAGCCTGACTGAGCGGTTTAGTCGCCAAAAGTCCTAGAGAACCATAGCAAGCATCTGGACAGAACAAAACGGGAACATCTCCACGGCCGGTGCATGCAGGAGACAATCAGCATTGTACTGATTCGGACATGCACCACCTGGAACGCACGCTGCAGCTGTGACAGAGGTGCTGGCAAAACACGCCTGGGCACCACCACCTTCCTGTTAGGTGTGTCATCTGAAACACAAGATTCCCCAGCATTCGAAAATAGTCCAGAATCACAAGATGCTCGAAAGCAGCATCATCACCACGATGGTGACGGGCACGTCAGAGCTGTCAGCGAGATCATCACACACTCATCATGAGAATTGCGATCGAAGTCATGTGTGATAGTTGGTATGGCAGTAGCGTGTCGGCATATGATTCATGTGATATACAAGAGTGTCAACAGGTCAAACGAGATGCAAAGAACAATCACCATCTTTCTGCTCTCAACAATAGTTGGAACAAGTCATCATCGTGACGTGAGTGCAGTCGTCGTCATGTGTGTCGACACCGTCACCATCGCCGTCCTAAGTCAAAAGCGCGAGCAAAAACATCGCCAAAAGACGAAGCGCCTTCAGAAACGTCATCGCCATCAGCAGCCATTGCATGTTGATCACCAGCACCACACAGGGATACCGGCTCGAATGAAGCCTGCGGCTGGGAAGTTGTGCCTTACAGCTGGGATGCTGCATGCGTCCCACCCGGGTCATGCAGGTCGCCGACGGCGCCAGCTGCCGAGTTCCGTAAGTTGGCGCATCCGGCAGAGAGCCCTGAGCTTGAAAGTCGTGCAGCACCATGTGCTCGATCTTGCTGCTAGTTTGCTGCAATCCAACAACACGAAAAGCAAGGCTGCAAACGTGTGTCGATGTAGTGTGCCCGGTATGTCGGCAATGTATTGACAAGGCGTGGATTGAATTTTCAAGCTGCTGACTCTAAATGTCAGTGCAAGCATGAGATGTCCTGCTCATGAACAAGCGAGGATGAGTCAGGTCCTTGTCGTAAAGAACGCGCTTCTCTTATACTACTTACTACTAGAACATATAGGCTATAGGCATTCATCCAGCTCCAAACGCTGGCGGTCGGTGTGCACATGGTTTTCTGCTGAGAAAGCGGCAAGAAGCGTGCTCAAAAGCACAGGGTTCAAAGTAACCTTGTAACTTTCTGCACTCGAAGCATGATGACCTTCTAAGATTCTACTTCCATGGGGCTCCAGTTACCTAAATTGTAGGTTACTAAACATATATTATGTACCGCAGTAACCTTCCATTTTAAGTAACTGGAGCCCTCGGGCTTCGGGCTTGTTCTAAAGCACAGAATTTGCAAAACATGAAACCCGGAGCGAGGAAAAAGTCGAAATGGGGATCCTCTGCCGATTCAAAGCATCTTCCAACGGAGGTCTACGCCGAACAATGCATGAGTGCGTATTACTATGACTACCATTCTTATCAAAAGTATTGTTAATATTGGTATTACTAGTACTACCATTACTACCATTTCTACTGTGATCTGGCTCCCAGACTTCATCCCAGGACGAGGCGATTGTACTAAAGCTAAATGGGAATTTCAGCTATGACTCTGAACGAACCGGCTGCAATTCCGATTGTGTAGAGTCGCATCATGTCGCATAGACTCCTTCTTGAGACGATCTTCCTCAATTTGTAAGCATTTCTCTTGCGCGCTCCCGGCAGCATATCGAAGTGCAAGAGATCCGAAATAAGTGCTTCTGTTGGTGACGTACTCCCTAAATACCGCTTGCTGAGACTCGCTGCAGCTCCTTAGTCTAGATATGGATGCGAAGGGCCAAACTTATCGAGCCGCATATGCCCGATCAAACCGCGAACAAGTCTGAGACAAACCAACAGAATGCTTTCGCAAACTAAACCGCCCCTTCACTGCTCCTAACAAAACCCTAAACTTCAAAACCCTAAATGAAGACAGCAAACGCCCTGCCGCAAACTCAGGTTTCTGTACAGTGAATTCGCTTTGGCCGATCTGGGCAGAGATCCGGTCTTAATGAGTTTAACGCTGCGAAGATGGCGTAGGGTTGTTTCAACTTTCTGTGTCGCCTGGGCTTCAAAACCCATAATAAAACATCACCATATCTATACATGTGTATAATCATAATGTATACACCTAAGAAAACAGCAAAATTATGTACATATACATGTACGTGCAGTTACGCAGTTACGCATACATATACATATCGATGTACATATACATAGACACAGACATACATACATACGTATATCTATCTATATATATATATATATATATGTATATACAGATTTACTGTATATATGTATACACCGGGACAGTAGTAACATGTGCGCCCGAATGGAACTCCAGGAGTTCTGCCAAAAGCAACGGCACCCGCATCCAGAAGGCGGGGCTCACTATCGACGGCAAACCCTAAAAGGGCTCCAGTTACCCAAAGAATGGGTTACTATAAGGCTCGGATGCTATGATGTTGGTTCACCACAACAACGAACTGCAATGGAGACTATAGGTACTACTTAAGTAACTGGAGCCCAGGGAAACTAAATAGCAGTCACAGATTGGAGCTTCCCGCACATCGCTAGAGCACTTTCGGCTACACGAATCCAGACTCCGTAGTTGGAGAGAAGCTGCTCCGAGTAGTGCAAGCAACAGTAGCATGCACAGAAACTTAAACTGTCAGGGTTTGTCTCGGGATGATGCAAAGAATGAAATGAACCGATATCTATTCCCTAATCCCTAAGCCCTGTAACCCTGCACCTGATGCTGGGAAGCCGGAATACCCCCGTGACTTGCTTGTACATTGCTGGGCCAAGTGTCGGCCTTTGGCTATGGTGGCACCTGCAGATTCGCACGCTCGGAATTCCAAGATGATGCATGCGCTCTTTTGGGCTATTGATGGGTGGGTCCGACACAACAGAATCCCAGCCACCATGGTTGATTCAAGTCCCTAGGTCTTCAAGATCAAAGTGCCTCTGAACTCGTGTTTGGACACAAGGGTCGTGGTCAAATAGAGCTCTTGGGGAGCGGGAGCTAGATACCAAAAACAAGGGAAGCTTTATTGAATTTGGCGATCCCAAGCTCCCGAATCACCGTTTTGTGAACAGACGGCGCGTGAAGAACGAGGTTGAGACTTCACGGACTGAAGCTCAGGGAAGAGAAGAGGGCAGCTTTCACAGCACTGCTACAAGGGTGGTCACCATGAAGGCTACCGTCAGTATCAGCAACACAGCAGCAGCGACAGTAGCAGCATCATCACAACCGACAGCCTCGGCATCAATCGGCAATAGTTAAAGAATTATTGCAAACGTTCGGACCAACATCATAGATTAAGAATCAGCGTCATCTTAACCACGGCCAGTGATCATCATCACCTCCTATACCCATTCTATCGGCAGCATCATCAACACATAGCAGTTCTCGACAGTTGAGAAAAGGTGCCCTCATTGGCAAAACGCTATACTACGCGGTTCAAGAAAGCAACAACATGCAGCGACCGCCAGATGTAACATGCTATGAGCAGCCACACCACCATCACGATCAGCGCCACTAGCACCGCTACCACCGCCTGCACAACCGCCACAACCATCACCTCACCATTACCGCCCGCAACAAGACCCCCACAGAAACTTGGGCTTCACATGTACAAGACACAGCTGACGCCGCAATTATTCACAACCGCGTGTGAATGTCCAGGCAAGCCATTAACAGCACCTCCCCATCGGGCCGTGTTCGCCAGCAAACTGGCTTGCAGCAGCATGCCTGCGAAGAAAAGCCGCGGTGCAAGTTTGCCAGGAATTCCGGCACAAATCCAACCAACCCTGTAAGCATCTCAGTCCCATCAGTCCAGGCTGCTGGTTCGACTAGATATATTAATTAATGTCGAGGAGGTTGGATGAACACCCACCCTTCAACAGGTAACTCACTCATACTTATAGTTGACGAGACTTTACGCAGTCCGCTGAACAAATCAAGACTTGTTGGGCTTCTCTGTGGGAGTCTTGGCAACTAGTTGCAGGCTACTGCACACGGGCCTTCTCGTGGATGCACTCCTCGGTCTCTTTGCATATCTCCGGTTCCTGCCGGTAGGCTTGCTGATCGAGGGTTCAGGGTTTGGGATAGTCATGGTGGTTGGGGTGAAGAAAAACAGTAATCATACTAAGGTAGCTAATACTAATTTTCAAGAAGAGTCTTGTTGTGAGTATACAAAAAATTTGCACCTGCATGGTCAGGCATTGACGGTAACGCTTGCAGTCATGTGCCAATCCATGCAATGCATGCGCTCAGAATACGGACAGACGCATCTGTCTAGCTGCCTGCCTCCAAACCATCCAAGCAACTGCATTAAACAGTGGGGGAGTGCATCGGCAAATGTCAACAAGAACATGAATATTAATGTGATGTACAGGCTGGACGCCGTTCTGACAAAACATCCGCGCTGGTATGAGGAGCTGCAGCAGACAGGGATGCGGCTGTCCAGCCCATTCGGACCAGAGCAGTTCAAGCATGCCTGGGCCGTGATCTTTTCGCCATCACACGCGGTTTATTGCACAAGCTTGGGGCAGATTTTAGATGGAACACCTGCTCCCAAATCACATCCTCCGTTCAAGGAATAAAGGCTTGTGAGCCTAAAGCACTCTCCGTGATGTCAATACTAATTAAAGATCTTGCCTTGTGGCTACAGATTTCGGCTTCAGTGAGCACTACCCAACAGCCGTAAGAGGGTGACGTAATGAACAACTATAGAAAGCCAGAAGATACACAAATAGCAGCATCATGTGAACCTGATGACAACAAGACGAAAAAACGAACAAGCGCCGAAAACAACGGCAGCTCGACCTCATACTGCTGCTGCTGCTGCTCCTGCTGCCTGTCACAGGTGGCTACCCTAAGGCCTAAGCTCCGTGGTTCTCCCTTACTCATCAGATCTCCGAGCTCTGGGATCCTGAAACCAAAATCCTAACTTCAAACCCCCATAGGAAGACCTCTGAGCCGCTGGGCTGGAGTCAGATCTGCAAAGTGCCACCACCACTTCGCCTCTGGAGCTTCCCTAGGGTTTAGGGGTTTGCAGCTTCGACTCTCTGGATTATGTCTACTTGGAGGATCATGGGACTTAGTAAGTACGGATATAAGTACCCTAATTGGGGTTATAAGTAATTATAGCTGTAGTTACCTAACTTATAACCCCACTTACTACGTCCCGTGATCCTTTAAGTAAGACTTAACCTTTTTCGTTGAGGTTCATCGGTCATGCATCAAGGATGTCGAGACAGGTGACGCGAGAGTCCAACTTCAAAGCCATGGACAGTTCGCTGTACTCGATAGGAGA